TAATTAAAAAAACCAGTAAATAAAAAAACCCACAACTGAATACTTTTCAAGGTAAAACCCCAACTACAAGAAGCCTGGATTACTGGCACAATAATATTAGAAAGTGGTCGCTAAGGCGGGGCTTAGACTCAGACACGTCACTGAGGGACTTCACACGAAGCAAACATAGTAAGCGGAGAGAAAAGCGGAGGCACGCAAAAATTGGTTTTAAATGATGGAAAGAATTCTGCTGTAATGAGCGAACCTGCAAAGCAATTCTGCAAAAAAGGAAAAATAATATAACGCGATAATACAGCTTAAAGTAAAATATGAAATCTACTGCAGTCAGCGACTTCTATAACAGAAATACCAAATATTTACATGTTAACTGGAAGAAACTAGCAGAAGCTTTCCCAAAAAACCAAATAGATTACTTCACCTTTAAGATAGAACTTCAATTACAGAATAGCGACAAAGTGACCCTACCTTCTTCATTAAGCTAAATACAAATGATCTGATGAATATAACTCAACAACCATATAATTATCTAATAAAATCTTTAAAATTCTCTTTACTTCATGAACAATTCCATTATTTTTCCGCAGAAATAGAACGACTACAGCAAAAATTTCCCTCCCAGCAAATGTAAAATGAAAATATGTTTGCTGAAAAAAAATTTCGCAAGAAAAGTCCAAAACAATGATTTCAAGGAATACAACTACAATGTCAAAACATGTAAAAACCACAAATTTTCAAAGAAAAAAAAGAGCATCTTTCCCACGGCACCTGCAACACGAACTGTCAGAGTGGAAGAGAAAGTACTGACAAGTTAATACTGCTCAACAGTCTTTTAGTGATGTTGGGTTTTATTAACCGCAATAAAAGACACCATTCTATAGCAACATGTCGAAAAAATTGTAGCTAAAAGAAAAAAAGTGACCCAAAATAGCTCACATTACAAAATGGACAATCCCCAACTGGTACTCCAGAAACTGCCACGACGACTGGAGCTGAAATAACAACCAAAATAACACTTAGTAATGAAATCAATACATAAAAAATTAACAACGGCAGTACTAACAATTTACTGATAAAGGAGTAGAAGTGTTCTGCTGAGGAAACGTCGGTAACGTATTGGAAGGAAGAGTCTGGATAACATTTGCTTTTGGCACAAAAATTTCTGCTCTGTTTGTCTGGTATGACGAAGTCGGATATGACAGAGCATCTTGATAAGAAGGTGGAGGCTGACTACAACAAATACTAAGAAGTAGGAATATGAACGAGTACAAAACTGAAGTAACAATCTCCCAATAATATTAAAATAAAAATGAATGAACAAAAAGATTTGTAAAACATAAAACTGTAAAAACTAAAGAAAGTTTAAACACTGCAGAAAACCCTTTTCTAGAACAGAATAAAAATAATTACAACTAGAAACATCTTTCCACTATACTAAAAAACTAGCAGTAAAGATGAATTTAAAAAAATATTTCCACGAGATTGCGTGCCCCTTAAAACTCATGCTTCCAAGACAAACAATTACAACGGGATAAATAGTTATTAATCCTACGCAGTCAGCAAATCTGAATACCTATATGGGGAATTAACCATTGGTGCAGCCGATGAACCAGGACCTTCGGCATTTATGCGACCTGCATTATTTGGATCAATGGCGACGTCAGACGCCGGGACACCACTAACACTTCCAGAATATGCCGGCGGTGCACTAGGAATGTTGTCTTCACTAGGCATTCTTAACAGCTAAGAAAATCTGCAATGATCAATCGTTGCC